GGCGGGGAGAGTTAAGAGATGGAGGGGAAGGATGGTAAGGAGGAACGGAGGGAGACGAGGAAGAAGACACAGGAGACACGACAGACCGGGTAGAAGGAAGGGGAACCCCAGACAGAGGACCAGGAGGAGGATCCTTCGGGAGAGAACCCAAAGGAACAGAGGAGGGGGCAGTGGGCGCATCAGGGTCCAAGGCCCGGAAACGGTTGTGAGTCTGAGGAAGGCGGGAAGGACGAGGAGAGGAAGAGCGCAACACGCGAGCATAAGAGATATTAGCATAAGGCAGGAGCCGGCGAACCTGGCGTCTCGCCTCAGGAAAAGATAAACGCTCCCGGTGCTTCAAGTTAAGGACGGCTGCCTCAAGCTTGTAATGGACACACGCACGGGAGAAGGCAGGATGGGCTTCACCGCAGTTGAGGCAACGAGCCTGGGGAGAAGTGCACTCCGACTTAGAGTGACCTTCGCCACTACACAAAGGACAAGAGAGAGACAGTCCCGGAACAGCGGAGGGTACCATGCCCAAACCTCCAGCACTTGTTGCAGAGCTGAGGAGAAGGAATGTACTCCTGGACAGAGCACCTGGCACCAGCAAGAATGACAGAGGGTGGAAGGGTCCTACCATCAAAGGTAATCTTCACAACCCGGAGGGGTTGACGGCGACTACCACGAGGGGACGAGTAAACGTGTCCACCTGGAGAATAGAATGGCCCTGGGCAGCAAGGATATGTCGAATATCGTCGTGGCAGTCGCGCAGGTCCCGAACACCGGTTGCAACATGGGGCGGGAGCAAAATAGTGCCAACACTGGCATTCAACTGAGCATTCTTCGAGACCCGAACAGGGTTCTCGCCAAGGCAGGATAAGGCAGCCAAGCGGGAAGCAGCATCCTGAGAAGGAGCAGCAACGACACGTGTACCGAGACGAGTGGGGTTGAAAGTAATGGAGGCATCCATGGAATCAACGAGATATCGATGGAGGGAGAAATCGTCAGGAGGCGCAGAATCAAGAGGGAGGAGATCAAAATATTTGGCCCACGAAGCAGGACCAAACAAGGCTTGATAGGTAGCAGAACTGGAAGGAATCGAGCGAGGGCGGCCGTGACGAGGACGGCGGTGAGAACCCCCAGAGAGAGAGGGGTTAAAAGGCGCAGTAGTTACAACTAGAGAAGGAGCCGCGCCAGGGGACGAGGTAGTCACCACTGGGGGCTTGGGGCTCGACCCAACCACAGAGGAGGGAGGGGAGCCAGGGGAAGGAGTCAGAGAGGCCAAAGGAGGAGCAAGGTCGGGGCCCAATGCAGCGGAGGCTACAGAGCCCGGTCTTCCAATACGGACCGACTCGGGGGCTTGGTCGCCCACCCCACGAGCCTGAGAAGGTAAACCAGAAGCAGCCGAAACAGGGGTTATCATCATTACGAAAAGAAGAATTCATTCACGAATGTGCCCCCACACCCACCATGGAGCCACAATTAGAGGCAGGATACCCAACAAGAAGCTATCGCCGATCTTGCCGGGGCCTCCTAGGGGTGCGTCGTGAGTATACGCCCCACAAACGCCACCTTAAGAAACCGACAGTCCGTCGAGATCGGGTTCAGTGACGAAAGGGGGATTGACAATAAAAGGTTCCCCTCGCTCTCGACGTCGGGTACTACAGTTCTACGGGTGCAAGAGTATGCCTCCTCAAGCACCCGGGCGTCAAAATAGAAGAAGTCCAAGGGAAGAACCAGAACGAGCAAAAGGTCGGCAGGAAACGGCAAGCAGATAGGAGAAGAGGGGGGAGAAAAACGAAACAGAAGGAAAAGGAAAAGATGCCCAGCAGAATTGGAGAGGACGGCAGCAGGAGCACAAGGCTAGAAAAGGACAGAGGACTGTCCCAAGGAGCATCACACTCCGACAGCCGCCCACTAAGCCCCCACACGGCGACAACGAGCTGAGCGGGGAGGGGGTCTTTGGCGGGAAGTGGAATGACTCAGCGCTATCTTGTAACTCAAAATGGCGTAAGCCACTTGCAACACCAAACTAAACTGGCAAATTCACTGCCAACATGATAACTTTCAATACCTTTACATACATCAAAACGTTCCCTGAACATCAGAGAATGTGCAGGTCGCAGAGATACGACTCTTGATGCCGGGACAGGAAAGATATAGGGTTAGAACACCGTCACACCAGCCATATTGTCTCTTTAAATGAGTGTGCAGATATTGCCACTAGGGAAGTTGTCCGCTCTTGTCCCATTTCTTGTAAGGATATTCCTTATTCTGACTTTTACCTAGTTATTCATTCCTCCATCCTGACCTGTTGGCAGGAGTATTGGTCTTCTGTAACTGGTAATAAACTGCGTACTCTTAAGTGTAGCGTATCCTCATGGCCGTCCTCCTACCACCATAACCGGCGATGGGAAATGGCTCTGGCGAGGTTGCGTATTGGCCATACATGCTTAACTCACGGTTACTTAATCAGGAGCAGGGCAGCGCTCCATTGTCCAAATTGCATTGTCCCTCTTATGGTCGTACATATCCTTGTTGAATGTCCCGACTTCCAGGACGAGCTTGTGTCTCGTTTTCTGACCGCCCCTCGCGGTCGCTTGTCCCTTGATAGAATTCTTTGTGAATCAGATACTTTTGATATCATTCGCCTTATGCGTTTCCGTTCTCGTATTGGCATCCTCGGTGATATTTAGCGCCCTCTGATTATTCAGCACATTTGATGGTGCTACATAGCCTTCCCGGTTTGGTACCTTCTTTTGATAATTACTTCACCAAGAATTCTATCGAGGGACAAGCGACCATGATGGACAGTAGGAAAGCAAGACACATGCGCGTCCTGGAAGTCAGGACATTCAATAAGGATATGCCTGACAGTAAGAGGGACAATGTAATTTGGACAATAAGGAGCAGGGCGGCGCTCCATTAAGTGACCGTGAGTTAAGAGTGTATGGCCAATACGCAACCTCGCCAGAGTCATTTCCCATCGCCGGTTACGATGGTAGGAGGAAGGCCATGAGGACACACTACTCTTAAGGGTACACAGTTTATTACAGTAACAGAAGACCAACAATCCTGCCAATGGGTCAGGATGGAAGAATGAATAACTGGGTAAAAGTCAGAATAAGGAATACCGTACCTTTACAGGAGATAGGACAAGAGCGGACAGCTTCCCTAGCGGCAGTGCCCACACGCACATTTAAGGAGACACCAATATGGCTGGGAACCCAGCAAAACTCAACCGGCTTAAATTTACTGGAAATAAGAAACAGCCAATGTTGAATCTCGACGACCACTGGATGGACCGGATTAAAGGACCCGAGAGCCATGAGGGCACTACAAGAGTCAACGACAACCACAAAGGAAGATTGACAACGAGAAAGCAGGAGACAAAGAGCATAGAGAATAGCATAAAGTTCTGCTGTGAAGATGCTAGTCTCTGGAGGTAGGCAATACATATAAGTGCGGTCAGGAAAAACAACAGAGTAGCATACACCATCCGCAGACTTAGACCCATCAGTGAAGATGGAAACGGAGCGGGAGTGTGAAGAAAAGTGCTCAAAGAAAAGGCATTTTAGAACCGTAGGAGGGGTAAAAGCTCACCCCTGCAGGTCAAGGATGTACAAAACTTTGGAAGGGGAACTCTCCATGGGGGGGGGGGGGCAAGAAAAGAACAAGACGTGGAGAAATATTAGAAATACGAACTGAAAAAGAATCCTATAAGTGAGATAACCGGAGAGAAAGAGGAAAGTGGTGAAGAGGAACAGGAACTACAGGAGGGGTAAAAGTTAAAACACGACAGAGGCAAGAGGAAGGATGTTGCAAGAACCACGCAAGATAGTGAAGACAGTAGCAATCACGGTGATCCTGGAGAGATAGGAAGCCAGTGTCAACATACAAGCTGAGTGCGGGAGTCGAACGAAAGACCAGAGCTGAGGTGCAACCCAGTATGGTGCAAAGCATCAAGACGGAGAAGAGAAGAAGCAGCAGATGAGTAAGCAGAGCAACCATAATCGAGTTTAGACAGGACGAGAGAGGAATGTAAAGCGAGGAGTGCACGCCTATCCGCTCCCCAAGAAGTATGGGACAAAACCTTAAGGAGGGTAAGGGCCTTATCTTTCAAAGGTAAGAGATATGGGGGCAACCAAGACAAACAAGTGTCAAAGATTAACCCCAAAAGCTTAGCGGAATCCTTGTACACAAGGTGATGACCATAAAGTGACAAAGAGGGACGAAGAACGACATGCCTCCGAGTAAAAGTCATAGCACAAGTCTTAGAAGTAGAGAACCTGAAGTCATGATCAGTGGCCCAAGACGACACGGCATCAATCGCAAGTTCTCGTAAATTCGTAAAGTCAATATTGACTTATTAAATAAGTGCATCGGTGATATACTAAACATAATAGATACCCTTAAAAAGCTTCATAGAAAACACCGACCTTACCTAACCTTGTTAGTATCTTAAGATAAGCATCTTATTGCTTCGTAATTACAATTGTTACTTAACCTATTATAGCCAGTACAAATATAGACATCCAAGTTCACTTACGAAAACCAAATTGAGAAGGGGAGAGGTGGTGATAGTGTTCTAAGAACCACATCAGACAAACGGTAACCATACGTTAAAGAGTTTGCAGACAACTCGTGAGGGCAATAGGGCGGAAGTCTTTAGGGAATGTCCCGAGAGACCCTGGTTTCTGAAAAGGGAGGACAACAGCATCGAGCCAGTCCTCAGGGACTGACAACGACTCCCAGACCTCATAATTTGACATCATAGTATATGATGTCAAATTATTGATTGCTTAAGGTCTGTATATTGTTTCATCAATACCTTCTGACCCTCTTTTAGTTCTTTTATTAGTTTCTCAAGAATTTTATCTTAATCTTCAAGTTAAGTGAATTTAACAATGATCAATAGAAATAATAAAACAACTAATTATATCTAGAAGTCCAGCGATGACATGAACATCAAAATTATTTAAGGTTTGGATGGAACCTGTCCCTAAAGAAAGATACAAAACTAGAAGAGTAAGATATATTTTATGACCAACAGCTGCACTGGTCACATGAATTTTACATGCCTGGACAAACTGCAACATGATTTAAAGTAGTTCATAAAACATAACTTTGTATATATTATAGATTTGTTTTTTGCTGGTGCTTATGTAAATTTATATGCTTAGAACATATTCCCCAACCAACCACATGCCATGACAACTGTGTAAATGGGCAATGACCAACTAAAAATCTGTCACATCCATCATCTTATTTATCCAACATCTGTTTTCAGGATGTAACTTATCACATTTATTTTTTATGGTTCTAAATCCTGTGTCAATATAGTGTTTACCTAATGCATCTTTTACAATACAATATTCCAAAAAGTAAAGACATTTAGCCAGTACATCAGGCAAATGTTTTACAAGTAGTTTTTTGTAATGCAATGAGGACTCACGGTGGGTGGGTGTTATCTCTATATGTGCACAGGAATTTAGAGCATAAAAATTATCCTTACTTTTGTATAATGTCTTATTTGTAAATATCTTATCAAATATAGAGACTAACATTTGAATTCTGGTGATAAATGATGACATACCAACCACCTTGTCTATTTTAATAACAATAATGGTATACTGTCTCTACTTTCTGATCAATACTACAGATACAACTACTGTACTGTTTTCTTGGACACCTTTGCAATACAATTTCTTGTCCACTGGCAATAATTAAACAGTAACTATTCCTCACTCATTAGTGAGAATGCAATAACTTTCAGCAACCATATAATATTGCAAAATATTACCTCTAAACCCTCTATGACAATAACAGTCCACTGTACACTATTTCTGTCACTGCATTTCAAATAAGCATGTAACTTTGACTGCATTGGAATGAGAACTGATACCAAGGCAAATATTAAAATCTTGACAAATCATAGTGGGCATCATGAAGCAAATTGTGAAAGATGGAATATTCACATAGAACGTCTCACCAGTGGAATTAGCATAGCAATTTATGCCGAGGCCCGAAATAATTGCACAAATTACCAGTCTTATGAATATTCTTACCTGAACTTTTACAAGGGTTAATTCACATAAATCAGGTTAGTCTCCGCATCAAACCAACCTGTTATACAAATATTTAAGTACCTATTATTACTATAGATGGAAGTACAAAACATGGACTGTTGCACCCAAAAAAAAGAGATCACATTTTGTACTATAAATTTTGTAGAGGGGCCCAAGAAGGAAGGCAATCACCATACCTAAAAAATTCCAAGTGGTAGTATTCCAATAGTACAAAACTAACAGCTGGAAAACACCAGCTCATATTTTGTACATTCCCTTAATAGTAACTATAGGTAATGTACTATCAAGTTTGGAGGATGGGTTGCATCAAACTTTACTCTCAACAAATAATAAAACACAAGAGGGTAGAAAATGCAATTTCATATGGATTACAAGTGGAAAATCTAGATATCTATTTTTCTTCACATAGTATCAATACATACTGTCTTATGCGTTGACACAAATACTGTAATAAAGAAGTTTGGTCAACATTCTAATTGACGAAACTGACGATCACCTAAACATTGCGGATGGACGGAGAGAGATCAGCAAAGTATGCGTGTGTCATGGCGTCTTCCGCACTCATTCTCACAGCAGGGTTGCATATTAGCAGTCGCTGAAATTAAGTTTCATTATCAGGAAAACACAGCGTGAAAAACCCCTATTACAATATGGAAATTGGGATTTAAAATGAACATTATCAAAAAACCAGCGTTGAATGTAATGAAACGCCATTTTCTGGGTGAGCCCTGGAGGCTCCCTGGAGCTATAGGACTGATATTAGCTATATTAGTCAGGGGCTTCAGAACCAGAATCTGGTTTCCTCAAAGGCAAAGGGAGCAATGGCCTATGGAAACACCACTGTTTTTGGAGGATTCCATGTCTGCCATTGACCAGGGTTAGGCATACAGAAAGGTAGGCGCTTCAAAACAGACCCTAACTGGTAGAAAATTGCAACCAGGGACCGAAACAGAGGCTAAAAACTCCCCCAAAAAACAAGGAAACAAGCAAATCGTCATTAACCCAACGCTCGTTTGCCCCCTACCCCCAGGAGAAGTAGGCCCCCGTCCCACCGAACCGGCCATCTGCCCACTAGTTTCGAGACTGAGCATACGGAAGGGTGCCAGGGAGCCTCTGGGGCTCACCCAGAAACTGGCGTTTTATTACATTCAACGCTGGTTTTCTGAGGGAAGCCCCATTGGCTCCCTAGATATCCAAAGATAAGTAAATGAGGGACTTACCCAGGAGGCGGCTGCACCGCATGTCTCATGATGAAGACAGGACCACCAGCTGCAACCAATGACCCAAGGCCACACAAGACTGCTGAGAGCTAGTAACGGTCACGAAATAATAGGCAGCCAGGACCCTGTACAACCTCCAAAACTCCCATGCCCTAATGTCAGTCCAAGACATGATTCCAAACACAGCAGAAAAAACTGCAAATCTCCAAATATGATTGGCACGAGGATAGACCACAGGCTGGCTAGACTCGAGAACTCTGCGGATGACTGGAGATACCCGAGCCCCAGAACAGGGAACGAGGGACATCAGATCAACCCAAAACACGCCCCCAGACACAGAACCCGAGGCGCGTGGGTAACAGCGTAATGCTGCAACCGGACACATAACATGATGTACCCCCAGGGGAAAGAGGTACAAGTACCACCATCACGACCAGGCATGCTGAAAAGCATCTACCACAAAGTCCTCACAATCGGGGAAGGGTGTCACCTACACAGGGAGACGCCATGAGCATGCCAATGTGAAGAAGCCCACCAACAGGGGCCTGAACATCTAGCAAGCCAACCAAAAGAGATGGTGTTAACCGTCCAGTCCGGGGCAGAGGAATGAACCGAGACAGGCTGAACGCCAGGAAGGAGGATACCCCAGATGGGAACCGCACGGAGAGTTAAACCCCGAGAACACAGATGAAGAGCCATTTGAAGCGACCATCCCCGAAGAGACCCACCATGGTTCGAACAAGGAACCACTGGGGCGCAGTTTGAATGGAGGTGAAACGGAAAGCCATGAGCTAGTCGAATCCGTCGCAGCAAAAGCCACCCCGCTGCAACACCTGCACCAAGCTGTGAGCCCAACAGAACCCAACACCCCGGAGTGACTAGGGAATCCGAGAACCCAAGGGCACCCAGAAACGAACCCGGGGGAGACCCATACCTACCACATTTGCCGGTGGAAAAACGCAAGAGGAACTGAACCAATTGTTTCCATTCAGAGGTGTACTTCGTTCACAGGTCGTTCATTCTGCACATCACAGAGGAACGTAGAAATCAGGCCCCACTCCCAACACGGACGACGTACGGAGAAAATCCAAAGGCTTGGGAGCTGGTTGAACAGAGCGAGCAAGGACACCAGTTACAAAATAGGTGCTCACCAGAAAGGAAAACTAGGAACCTCAGTCTGGGAATACAAGACCGGGGGACAAGACCATCACCCGGAAATCCCCAGGGGAAGAGACAGGGCAGGATGCAAGATGCAGGCAACTGTTGGTAAAAAAAAAAAAAAAAAAAAAAAAAAAAAAAAAAAAAAAAAAAAAAAAAAAAAAAAAAACACCCAAGAGTTTGAAGAATCCTGCACAGCCACAAGGATGCAAAGTGGTGTGGGCAGATCCAGGAAATAAGTTAAAAAACAAGACAAAACAGCCAGTCACCTAGGGGACACAGAAGCACTACACACGGCAAGGGTGATGGCCATAGGAAAGAAGGTCAAAATCCAAATAATGCGCACCCTCAGGAGCCCAAAGACACAAAAAACACATGACCAGAGGCAGAGAAGGAAGACAGGAATGCAGGAGGCAGGGAAGAGGCAAAGGCTGAAACCATAAACAGTAGAAATCCATAACACGTAGGGAAGTGAAATCTTCCTTCCCTGAAATCTTCAGGGAACTAGATACAATAAGAATTCCAGAGAACAACATAGAGCACATAGAGGTGTCTAGAGACAAAGTGGAAAAAATGCTCAAGGAGCTAAATAAGAACAAGGCAGTTGGTCCAGATGGAGTTTCACCATGGATTCTGAGAGAATGTGCACCTGAGCTCAGCATTCCTCTTCAACTGTTTGAGCATTCCTCTTGGACTGAGGACTGAGCCGTCCTCAGTCCAAAGACCAGGACGGCTCAGGCGGCACATGAGCAGGCTGGAGGTGAAACAACACACGAGGCAGGTTGCGAAACGGCACAGAAGTAACATCTGTACCGAAAGCCAGCCGCAGCGGCCCTACCAATGCCGCACGATAGGAGGCGACAGTATTCGGCATAAGATGACGGTCCTAAAACGACCACATGAGAAAGGACAAAACAACCCTACCCGAAAGCGAAGTACAACGACGAAGAGTGAAAAAGAAACGGAAGGACCACCAGGAAACTTCACACTGCTACTGAGACGAAGCTCGCAGGTGGGACATCATCAAAGAAGCCACTTGATCACCATACAGATGGTGACAGACTCGAGTCAAAAAGACCAAAGGCAAAGACTCGAGGAGAACCACTCTCAGAATGGACTGGACCGATCTGTTGAAAGAGGCGGAACCTCGGAAAAACCTCTGGGTTCGGACACTGGGCAAGCAGCGCCTGAACCAAGGCTGGGCCGGCCACCATGAGGCCAAGAGGACTACTCGCTTCTGGTAAGTCTTCAAGCGAGCCAGGACCTGGAGCAAAAGCTGAACCAGGGGAAAGAGGTACAGGAAACCCCACCCCGACCAGTCAAGACGTCGATCCCGATGTCTTGACACCCCACTAGCCCTGAACCCCCTGAAGGAGGAGCCACCCAACACCACTGCATGCCACGAGAAACTACCCGAAAAGCAAAAAATCGTGAGACCAGGCGTGAGCGAACAGAGCAAGCCTTCCTCCCCATCGCCCCATCAATGGGGTGAACCACGAATGGGCCGATGTCCCTTACAAGAACCTGACCTGCGCACAGAGCAAGCACCGCTCTGACCTGACGCAAATGGTTCTGAAGGCGACAATGGCTCTGAAACTGGCACTTGTGGCCTACCCCAACGAGCGGAACCCCAAACCCTGGCACGATCCCTCTGGGAAGAACCCATCCGGAACCCTCGGAGAACCAACAAGTCAGACATAGGACGGCAACTGGAAGAAGTCGCCTGCATATACTGCTCAACTGCAGAGTTCGCAAACAGCAAAAAACAAAAAGCTAAGACAACCTAAGAGCCAGGGCCTAAGCAGATTCCAAGGAGGAAGTGAGCACAACCTGACGGCATGTGAGACGCGCAGCAAAAAATGGCGATAGCACATCCTGCAGGATCGGCGCAAACAGCTTCAAAAGCGCAGACGACGCACGAGCAACCAAGACAAAGGCGCCAGACTCAGGAACAGCCCCAAGCACCTCAACATCCTCCACAAGCCAATGCAAATACAGCTCCAGGAGGGAAAAGAAACGCAGGACTGAAGCCAGCAAGCCACGACCGCAGCCGACAAGGAAGGAACCTGGACATGAAGCTGCAATGCGTCGTCATCCCGCAGAAGAGCAGAAGCCAAAAGACATTCATTATGGTGTTCAAAGATGCCCCCCCATGTAAACGTGGACCACAGTCAACGCCTCGCACCACTCAAGCGTGCGAGTACGACAGAAAGAACTCCAAGCATCCAATGACAACAACAGGCAGTCCGCCAACCAGGACGACTCCAGAGCCTCATAATGAACCCAGTATTGGAGACGAAGATCCAAACCTCAAAGACAGACAGATCCATTATAGAGGCATACTCTGGGTCGCGCGGGAGGCAAGCCGCACCGGCTGCCTGCACCTCTACAGGCAAGATGCAGGAGGCTGAAAACCTCCAGAAGGACGGAATCGAAGGACCCACAGGGACACGGAACTGAACCCGGGGAGGAGCCGAACCCAAATCCAACTCGTATGCAGAGGGTGGAAAGAAAACCCCCCACTCCTTGACCCGAATGAACCACAACAGGGAAAAAACATGGGGGTGCGGACTGATCCAAGGCCGACGTGACCAACACCCCCAAAACCGGGTCCCTATAAGCAAAATGGGGCAGCCTCGGGGCATCCGGGGAAGCAACCAACCTAAACCTAGCCTACAACGTGGGAGCCCCCTGCACCCGAATAAGGTCTTCAGTAGACTGGGTGAAGTGAGTCACAAACAAGCAACAATGCTCGCAGGACTCTGGGTTGAAGGTGTCATTGACCCAGCAGGCAGCATGACATAAGCACAAACAATGAGTGTCACCCTAAGACAAAGGACAGAGCAACCCTCAAACTCAAACAAAATCAAAAGAGGGGCCCCAGGGGTCACATTCATTGGACCCAAGTGCCCCCTCCCCAGGGTTTCCCAGGGCCCTTAGACTGTCTCTGCTAAGAGTAAGCCCAGGCAGGGTACTGTTAACCAGCGCCCAATGCTACCAAACAAACTGCTAATGCTGAACCCCTAGGACATGTCCACTCACAAAGGTGAAGCAGGGGGTACCACCAAACTGAAAGTCCAACCCTAATAAAACAGGGAAAAGAGACACCAAGGCAAACCCCCCCCCCCTCCGCACCCACCAGGCAAAAAGAAAAAGAAAAACCTCACAAGAGGACAGCGTACCCAGAAGGAACAGAGCTAGCTGCTGTTATAGGTGAAAACTAGCTGCACAGTACCCCGCGCCCCTACCAGTGCAAAACTGCTACTTACCCTAAGGTAGACAAGGGTGGAAACCCCTGAAAACACTCAGGGCGGTCAATCGCCGAGCAGCAAAAGACCAACAGAGGTAGACCCAAGGTGACTTGTGGAAGAGAACCCCAAGCCCCAAGGACGGTACTTACAGGGCACTCAGGAAAGGTGACCCTAATCACATGCAGCCCAAGTACCTGTGAATATTACTCCCAGCTCGCACGCCACCGTAAGAGCAGCACTGAACCAAAGCACAGCACAACATACAAGTCTGGAGCTGGAGCCACACAACCATGCCGTATCACATCAGCCGAAGAACTGGGGTGTGAATCGCCGGTGCAGGGATCTGGGGCTCCCCCTTCCCTCTCCCGGGGAGGGGAGGGAAGCTGCACATACTTAGCATATGCGCAGCTCGTGTGTGATATCATGCTCGTTTGCTCGTTTTCATTTGGGGAGTTCCATTCACTCATTTGTCTTTTTTCATCATTTTTAACTAGAATAGGGGTTTCTTTTGGCCACTTACCTTTCTGGGTGCCTGTCCCGGTCGATGGCAAATATAGAATACTTTAAATCACATGTGCATTTCACTAGGCCACTGCTCCTCGTGCCTCTCCGAGGGAGGCCAGATTCTGACTTGTGGTCCCCAGTAGGCCTAGAACTCCATCCAAATCAACTGATGCCAAATTCTAGAAAGATACGTATCAGCCTGGATAGCTTCGGGGAGCAGACAGGGCTCCCCCAGAAAGAAAAATAAATTAATATAAATAAGTGATATAAATTATGTGAATAAAAATGAATGGCATGCAAGCTGTGGTACTAAACAATTCATTGTCCCGTCTGAAAATATAACCTTACTCGAAAGTACAGTATAAAGCATGGGGAAAATCAAGCATTGAAACATCATTGCCTGGTGAGCCCTTAATAGCTTTCTGAGCTTAAGGAATCACACCAGGCCTCCGAGACCCACTCTTGTCTACTACAAGTCGGGACCAGAATCTGGCTCTCTCTTTGAAATGTAGGGAGACAGATCAGAGACAAACCCAGATCTTGAGTAAAGCCACCAGAAAAGATAGTCACAAAAAAAAAAAATGCAAATGATCGTTGCTGCAGAATAAACACATTATCCCCACCAGATGGTGGTCCAGGTCATCTGGGGTCTTGGCTAGCCTCCCACGCTTACTCACAGCTAGCTACTACACTCACTATAAACAGGCGTCAAAGGAGAACAAGTCCCATGCACTAGCCAGCAACGAGAACTTAACACTTTCGCCCACCGATGACGATGGATGGAGTCAAAATTTTACTTTTTAAGAGCCACCGATGACGAAGTATGGAGTCAAAAATTACAAAAAAAAATTGGCCTGCTTTCATCACGGTTTTGGACCTTATATGCATATACCCCTTGAAGGGAATGTCATTGCGAATTCATTGATACCAAAATGAAAGACCTAGGACCAGAATTGAGGTAACAAAGTTAATAGAGTTAGTTTAGTTCATTTATTATGCACCCCATACCCATCTTGTGGTAATTGGAAACTTTGTTTCCAATTATTAAACAGTTAATGAGCTTTGAAGAACCAGGAGGCTGTTTATAACAATAACAACAGTTGAATGGGAAGTTTTCATGCTTGTAAACTGTTCAATGAATGTAACCAAAGCCGTCAAAGATTGAGGAAAGATGTATACGTTCGTAAGTGCTTGCGTAAGTGCTTTCGTGAATCTGGCCCCAGGGATCAGGTGAGCGAGGTAGCAGGGCGGCTGAGACCTTGGGTAATTGAGCCACCATCTGGTGGCAGTCATGTGCATCACTAGAAGGAAATTTACACCCTGCAAAGATCATTTGCCTTATTTACCTCAGTTCTAAACGTCTTTCAAGCAGTCACTTGTTTTGTTGTGGCTATCCTTTCTGGTAGATTTTTTGGGTTGTTGGTTGATCTTTGAGAGCCAGATTATAGTCCTGGCTCCTGGTAGCCAAGGGTCAGTCTCAGATGCCTGGTGTCATTCTCTACAGCTTAGCAGTCCCAGTACTTAAGCTCAGGAAGTTACTGAGCAGGGATCCCACATAAATTATTATTTATCTTTCACTGTATATTTCAAAATAAATTAATAAATAACTAATATTTAGCAGCTAACCTGTAATAAATCTCTTCCTTTACTGCTGAGTTTAGGACAAACTTGAGCAAGGGTCATGGTGGGTTGGTAGAGAGGAAATGTTTTGTAATCGGGAAGCGAGTTCATTCCTGGCCACGTCTCCTCTGTAGGTGTGCCCAATAGTTTAAATATACGCTTTACCTGGTCATCTACATCACTTCCTGGAAAAAGTGGCCGACCAGCATTTGCAAGTTCTGAAACATGAATATGTCATTGAGAAAATATTGCCTTCTAAAAAAAAAAAAAAGCAATAAATGTAATGAAACGCCATTTTCTGGGTGAATCCCGGAGGCTCCCCAGAGCTATCCAGGCTGAATGGATATGTATATCTTTCTGGCATCGGTCAATGCATGGAGTTCTTGTCTACCAAAGACCACGAGCCAGAACCTGGCTCCCTCTAGAGAGGCACGAGGAGCAATGGCCTATAGACCCCCCCCTCCCTGTGGTTGGGAGCATTCTATGTCTGCCATAATTATCAACTGGGACAGGCACCCAGAAAGGTAGGCGCCCCAAAACAAACCCCTATTCTGGTAAACTATTGCGACCTAAGGCCGAACAAGTGGACAGAACTCCCCAAACGAAAATTAACAAACAAGCATGACGTCATAAATAGACTGTAATGACATATTATATTGCCGTAATTGAAAACATATGTGTGCGCCTGTGTATACTCAAATATGCAACAATTATTGATACAAAATATATTCAAACATTATTTGAAACACAATTAGTGAAAAAAATTGGATAAAATGCGCCTAGACATTGTAAATAAATAGCGCGAAAATATATTTGTGGCAACTCTGGCTGTTTGAGGACCGCGCGCAACGCCTCTGGGGCGTGTACTGCATGAGCGAACATGCAGATTGTGACGTCATCGCTGAGCTTTCCGGCTCTATTGCAACAAAAGTAAGTACAATAGAATTTTTTTTTTATTTTTCCCGTGATCAGTGAACACAACAGATTAGCAAAAAAAAAAAAATTTTTTTTTTCAAAATGACATGCGTCTGTGGGGATGGCAGGATATTAGACCCCGAGCATGTTAAGGGTTAAGAAAGAGGTTCAAGCAACATATGATTCTGAGGACGTCTCCCCTCCTGTTATGGTGACGAAGCGGGCCATAACTGCTCGCCCGAAACTAGCTGTTGCAGCTGTTCCTCAAGATTCACAAAGCCTCCCACCGAATCCCACAATGCTGGAGTTCCGTAAGTTGCAGAGAGAGGATCCTTCCTTTACATCTTTATTCTTATAGGCTGAGACACAACCTAACTCTATCCCTGGTGTCTTTGTCAAAAACAAAGTGTTATACCGGCATTATAGAACCAGGAAATTGAAGGACGACGACGATCAGGCCAACATCAACCAAATGGTAGTTCCTAACAGCCTACGATCAGATATCTTACGTCTGGTCCATGGATCTCGCTCACACTACGGCTTCTATACGACCTACAAAGCCCTAAAACTGGGCAGGTATGATTAGAGATATCAAACATTTTGTCAAGAATTGTCACATGTCTCAGATGACAGGTAATCCGAACACTCCTCTATTAAAGGCACCCCTGATGCAGGTACCAGTGTCTTCTGAGCCGTTCAGCCATACCATCAACAACTATGATGAGCCTTTGTCCCAGACAAGCTCAGGTAATGTTCCTTTATATGCTATCCCGTGTTTTACCATCAGGTATTCTACAGCAGTTTCTGTCCGGAACAGTACAGCTGCTAACATTGTGAAGCACCTCAGGAAGCAGTGCCCGCAGTACGGACATCTTCAGGAAAGTCGGAACAAGTGTGATATCTCCAACGACCTGAGTAAGACAACCAACATCACCAAGGTATTGTCTAATCCTTCTCGTTGTACTTGGCCTGACTACAGTGGTTCTAAATTCTCGATCTATTCGAACATCAGGAAAGATCCTTCTCTCTACAAACCAAATCCAAATAAACGTGCTCCTCCAGACAACTTCATCAGCCCTCAGCTAAAATATTGTAAGACAAACTTACCTTCCATTGCATTTGAAAGGCGTAAATCCTTGTCTTGTACTAACTCCATTCTCGCCCTGCCAGGTATTAGAAAACCTTTAGTTTTCCACCCTGGCGATAGGAACACCATCATGCCGCAACGAAATGGGATCATACACTCCAGCTACAGTTGTCAGAGAGGAGCCACTCAACATCCTGCCCTGTGTGCAACACAACGAACCATCCAATCTACTAGGTTACAACTACTTCCTCTCCTCGGACTTCAACATTCTTCAGTCCATCCAGCAGGCCCAGTTCAATCTCAGTTTAGTACTCTGCTGGGTACTGCAGCACAACCTCAACATTCTCTAGGACCTCAACATTCTTTGGTCCCTACTTCAGGATCAGTTCTCCAAACTTCGCTGAACCCTGCATCACCATGGGAACATCTTGAATCACAATCTCCTTCGGTTCCTACTGCTAGCCCAGTTCTCCCATCGGTACTTGCTACGCTGGGCCTTACATCAGACAAACCATCTCACCATCTCCTTGGAACACCATTCTTGTCGATCCATTCAGCAGGCTTGATTCTCCAGCAAATTCATACTTCACAGAGTCCTGCAGTGCTACCTCAACAACTTCCATAAAGCAGGCTTCGGGGGAGAGCTGTCATGGTAATCTATCTAGGAAGAGATTCGGCCTGCTCCATCATCACCTATTCTATCATACCACATCTATATATTCAAGAACTGCAGCCACAAGAGCAACACCACCACCTCTCAAAATGTCTAGAAAGTACCTCCAAACTACCTCCCCCATGGCCCGTCACCCTCCTCGCACCTGGTGATGCCTCAGGATCACGCCACCTCTGAAACAAGCAGTTAAAGTGAGCCAGTTCATAGTTACCGACATCACCAGCGCCATCTGGACGGCCATCGTTCCATATAAATAGAAGCCGGCTACCACCACGATTCAGATTATTCCTGAGTGCTCTACTGAGTAGACCTGTTGAATACCCCGGTGTGGTAATAGAGTTATTCAGTCTGGCTCACAGTATTCCCGCAACATTTTTAATTGCACATTAACGTAACGTAAATTTGACTATCTGTTTATCTTGTTCATTTTGTATACTTAGAAAATAGCCAAGTTTTGGATATTATTTTTATTTTCATGTTAAGTGTTTAAGCCATTTGTTCAATTAAACTATTTTAAATGTTTTTTCTCTTTTGTGCTTTATTCTACAGTCGTCACACAGTGAAGATTACACAGCAGTCTAATTTTTTTTTTTTTACTTTTTTTTTTTTTATTTATATGACTGGCATTCCATCTGCCTAGAGACTGCACTAACACCTATTTTTCTCATCATAATACTCACCCTCTGAACTGGGGAGGTCCCAGATGTGGAGGTCTGGGACACCCCCGTCCCCTTCCCGGGTAGGGGGTTGGTTGCGCAGACGGATGCGCGGCGGCTGTGGTGACGTCATGTTTGTTTCCCGGTTTTTGATTGGGGAGTTCTGTTTGCTTTTTCAGCTTTTGGTTTGCAATTTTTTGGCCAGCAGTAGTTAGTTTTAAAATTCCTACCTTTCTGGGTGCCTGACCTGGTAGATGACAGACGAAGACTGCTTCCAATTACATGGAGGGCGTCTTTAGGCCATTGCTCCTTGTGCCTCTCTTGAGGGGGGCCAGGTTCTGGCTCTGGTCCCCGGTAGGCTTAGAACTCCTTTGATTGACTGTTGCCACGGTTTAATATACACACATCAGTCCGGTATAGCTCCGGGACTGATGTGTATATCTCACCCCAGAAAATGGCGTTTCATTACATTCAACACTGGTGTTTTCACAAAATATCCTTATAAAATAGGGGTGCGTCCTATGCGAAGATGCGTCTTTTATGCTGGCAACTACGGTAATTAAAAGCAAGTCTGAAATTGGAAAGTGATGTATATGCTCATCTCACAATGTTCTTTATGTATTCCTCTGGTGACAGCTTACTATCCAAAACCACCCCCAAGTCTTGTTCTTTATTAGATTTCTGTATTTCCTTTCCATATAATTTGAAAGTTGTGTGTGGTCTATTTTCTTCGATTCCAGATACCATAACATGGCATTTATTCACATTGAATTCCATTTGCCACTTGACATTCCAAGCACTTATTTTATCTAGATTGATTTGAAGGGCATTACAATCATCTGCATCTCCTATCTTCCCCAGTATCTTTGCATCATCTGCAAACATGTTCATATAATTCTGTATTCCTTCTGGTAGACTGTTTATGTAGACGATGAACATTACTGGTGCAAGAACTGAACCCTGTGGTAATCCACTAGTAACACTTCTCCAGTCAGATATATTGTCTCTGGTTACCACCCTCATCTGTGTCAGAAAATTTTTCATTCAAGTCAGAAGTCTCCTTGTCACCCCTCCAGCATGTTTCAGTTTCCAGAACAGCTTCTTGTGTGGGACTTTTTTAGGTCCAGATACACACAGTCAACCCAACCACCTCTTTCCTGTAATATCTCTTAGGCTCTATCATAAAATCAGCATTGAATGTAATGAAATGTGGGAGGCTACCTGGTGCTATTGGACTGATATTAGCTAATATTAGTACGGTCATATGCTTCAGTCATATGGCGTTGTTATGCCTACCGGGACCCACTAGCCAGAACATTGTCCCCTCAGAGAGGTGCAGGGAGCATTGGCCTATGAAACTCCCTTATATGAAAGTTTCATGTCTGCCATCGACCGGGATTAGACACCCAGAAAGGTAGGCACCCTAAAATGGACCCCAACTGGTAGGAAAATTGCAACCTGTGACCGAACAGAGGCTAGAAACTTCCCCCAAGGCAAACAAGAAAACAAGCAACACGTCATCACACTGCGCTCCGCTTGTTCACGCGAACCCCCGCCCCCCGGCCGACGGACCATTTGTTCGGAGACTGACTAAACAGAACAACACCCACCAACCGGAGGGAGGGAGGGAGGGAGGGAGGGTGCCAGGAAGCCTCTGGGGTTCTACCCAGAAAGAGGCATTTCATTACATCCAACGCTAGTTTTCTGTGGGGAGCCTCATCAGCTCCCTGCAGCTAGCGACCCAAACAGCAGGGGAAAAGAGGGACTTATCTGGCAGGCAGCTTGCACCGCACATTCTCATTATGAGGGTGAGACAACTGGCTGCAACCACAGACCCGGCGCCCGAATGTCAGCCAAAGACATGTTCCCCAATACAGCAGCCAAAGTTGTGAACTTTTGAACATAATGGGCACGAGGGTAGACCTCAGGCTAGACTTGATAACCCTGCGGATGACCTGAGAGACCCGAGCCCTGGAACAGGGAACGAGAGATACCAGGTCAACCTATAGCACGTCCCCGGACACAAAAGTCGAGATGCACAGGTAACAATGTAAAGCCGCAACCAGCCACAAGACATGAGGCACCCCTGGCCTGACCAATCAAGCATCAATAACCCGTGGACCCCTCCGGAAGCCCGTCGCCTCATTCTTCACCAGAAAAGAAGGAGACGGCTGCACACGAATAAAACGTCCACCTGGATCAAAAGAGAGGCTCCAGAGAGCCAAAACAAAACAAAGCCTTCTGGAAACGATCACTGACAGGAGGGGCTACCACAAACCGAGGGGGAGAGAGAAAAAAGAGCATCTGGTCCAAAGACCAGGTTGGCTCAGGCGGTGCATGAGCAGGCCGGAGGTGGAAAAACAGACAAGAAAGCTTACAAAACAGAGCAGAAGTGACATCCATCCAAAACGCAAGCTGGAGCGGCTCCGCTAGTGCTGCATGATACGAGGCAACAGTATTCAGCACAAGACACCTGTCCTGAAAAAGCCAAAAGAAAATTCAACACCACACGCACCAAAACTGAGGACACCCTACTCAGGAAAAGGAAGTGGCGAAAAGACCATCTTCATACTGTTGCCAACACTAAGACCTCAGGTGGGACACCATCAGAGAAGCCACCTGGTCACCATACAGATGGTGATACACCCACATCAGAAAGTCCAGACACAAAGTGCAGAAGAGTAGAGCAGACCAACAAGCTACCTCACCGGCCAGATCTACTGAAAGAGGTGGAGCCACAGAAAATGCACCGGGTTCGGACACTGTGCAAGCAGCACCTGAAACCAAAGCTGGGCTGGCCACAATGGGCCAGAAGGAGTATCCTTTCCCGATAGGACTCGAGCTGAGCCAGAACCTGAAGCAATAGCTGAACCGAGAGGAAGAGGTACAGGTAACCCCAACCGACCCCTGTCCAGTCAAAAAAATGTCTATCGCGAAGGCTTTGCAATCGGGGAAGGGCGCCACAGACAGGGAGATGCCTCGACTACACTGATGCGAAGAGGTCCACTTACGGAGGCCAGAATGTCCGATAGAACCAATTAAAGGAGTCGGCATCGACCATCCATTCCATGGACAAGGTAATGAACTGCATCAGGCCGTTGAACATGCCCCTGATATGAACTGCACGGAGAGTTAAACCATGAGAATTCAGCAGAAGAACTACTCAAAGCAACCAGCCCCAAAGAGCCAAGGACCGCAGACACACCCCCTGTGGTTTAGGCAATGAACCACTGGAGCGCAGTCTGAATGGAGCTGGATCGTATAGTCTTGAGCGAGCCAAATCTGCAGCAGTGCAAGCCACACCATGGACACTATTTGTCAGGTAAGCAGTTTGTAATGCGTATATTATATCAATAATATACACACTACATAATACTTCCCCCCCTCCTTCCAGGGAATTATGTAGGGAGTATATTATTGATATAATATACTCGCTACAAGTTCCACGGGTTTATAACCCTAACGGTGAAAAGACATCTCGTTTTCCGTCCTGTATTGTGATTTGCTCTGCTTGAAGCTGTTGCTCCTTGTATGTCATACGTTTGACAGAATTGGTTTAAATTAACATTTTCCAACTTGTTTGGAACAGAATTTTATAAGTTTCGAGAAGATCAGCCATCATGTTACCTTACTTCTCATTTAGTATTTAAACTACAATAAATGCTTAGCATATTACTCTAGTTGCTTTATACATAATATAATTTCTGTGCCAACTAATAAACTGCTGTAACATGTTCCAATTTATATTGTATGAATAAAATTATTTATTATTATTATATATATAGCAATATCCACAGGAAACCATGTACAGTATCAATAGAAATATCAGATGAAAGTGAAGTGGGCACCTCACCTAATCCTAGAGTTGCCATGCATGCCACCTGGTAGTGGGGGGAGTTAAGTGACAAATCATTTCATGGTTTTCGTATTCAAAATTTTGTTTGGTTGCTTGGTGACCTAAAATTAATAGGTGGTAGGTTGAGTGTTTTGGATCTTCCTTTAAATTATTTGGCAATTTTATCTCAAGAGGTAGGTTTATCTCTGATCCCCATGAGATCTTCGCCTTGTAGAAAGGACAAGTAGACATGAATTAGTGCTGGCTCCCAGTGAGCAGAGATTGTCACAGGTCTAGTATACTCACTGATATAAGAATACCAATGAGTACATTAGAGTGGCAGTGCTGAAAGCTCAAGGAAGTTACTGAGGGAATCAAGCCCAGAAAAATATTGATAAGTTTATTACCAGAAATAAGACTCACCAGCAAATATGCAGCCAGCCGACCACATATCAATTGAGGTATTGTACAGCTTTGCGCCAAAGAGAACATCTGGAGGCCGGTACCACAAGGTCACCACCTCTGCTGAATAGCATCTAACTGGAATGCCAAATGCTCGGGCCAAGCCAAAATCAGCCAGTTTCAGTTCGCCATTCTACAACAGAAGCAAATTATTTTTCTCAGCCATCGAATATAAAATATTACAAATATGTTTTATATACAAAATAAACCAACACTTAAATTGTATATAGTATAGATACATACTGTAAGAGCTTGGCAATATGAATTTTGATAACCCAAACTTTGGGTAATCCAAATACATTTGAGTTCGTGTTTTTCACTACTCGACACGAATAAATATTTGAGTTACTGAGATTTCTAGCAAACGAAACCCATATAAATTTTAATTTAATTTTTTGGACTTTTCTATGTAAACATTTGAGGAAATTAAATGGTAACTTTAATCCCCATATTTTTTTATTATTGAGCATAGACAGTATATGGATTTTTGCATTATGATACAAAGATGATGCATTAAATGTAATGAAATGTTCCTTTCTGATAAACCCTTCCCAGTAGCTCTTCCAGGTTTTTCAGAGGCACCACTAAGCCTCAAGATCATACCAGACTTTTGAAACCCATGCTGGCCTACCCAGACCCAAAGCCTAAATTTGGTTCTCTATAAAGTAAGGTTCATGAGAATCAGTGTCATGTAAGGATCATGAGAATTAGTAGAGAATGTTATCTTCTTGAGGTTATCTTGAGATGATTTCGGGGCTTTAGTGTCCCCGCGGCCCGGTCTTTGACCAGGCCTCCACCCCCAGGAAGCAGCCCGTGACAGCTGACTAACACCCAGGTACCTATTTTACTGCTAGGTAACAGGGGCATAGGGTGAAAGAAACTTTGCCCATTGTTTCTCGCCGGCACCTGGAATCGAACCCAGGACCACAGGATCACAAGTCGAGTGTGCTGTCCGCTCGCCTGCCGGCTCCCCTTCATTTGCCTGACTGCATTTGATCCTTATCTAGAGAACACATTGCATCTTCCCTATAGAGACAAATGAATGCAATTTTTCAGAAATGAACTGAAATTCTTCATCTGAAGAAACTTGCACAGTTCACAAAAGTTTTGCCCTTAAAATGTGGTAATGGATTTAGGCTCATACCTGTCTATATTGAGAACAAAATTCATATACTGTACAGTAGAATTATTAATACGGATGATACAAAATGCACATAAAAGTGGAAATAAACTGAATATCTACATTGTATCATGTTTTATGTGCCGGAATTCAGCATGGGGCAGTTCATGATGCTAACCCCATCTGTCAACATGACAGCTGTTAGCAGAATACACAGCCCGAACCAGACACTCAATGATGACCTTGGATGTCAACATGATAGATCATATAATATAATAGGAGTGATATAAATAGGCCCAAATGAGGCAACCTTACTTATATTGATATAAACAGTATCTGTCTTTTATGGGCCAATATGCCTTCTATAGTGCCTTAATTATTATGCTACAATGATGACTGGTTAACCTGGTATATTTCATTACAACAGTTGGAAATATAAAGCACCTATAAATATAAATACCCGAATAATAAATTTATCTAACAATACACAGCTATAAGGATTCGTCCTGTTATTATAATTTTAAATTATAATTATATTACTAGGCTGATGCAATATTAGTGGCGTCTACCAGTTTCATGTCACGATGATACTGTTGAGTATCTGAAATAATTCTCTTAAATCTTTTAATCTCTGTGATGCGCCAAGTTTATTGTAATTACCTAAGTGTAGTTACAGGATGAGAGCTACGCTCATGGTGGCCCGTCTTCCCAGCACTCTGTCATATAACTCATTGAAACTACTGACGGTCTTGGCCTCCACCACCTTATCACTTAACTTGTTCCAACCGTCTACCACTCTGTTTGAATCTGCGAAAGTGAATTTTTTTTATATTTCTTCGCCATCTGTGTTTATTTAGTTTAAATCTATAACCTCTTGTTCTTGAAGTTCCAGGTCTCGGGAAATCTTCCCTATCGATTTTATCAATTCCTGTTACTATTTTGTATGTAGTGATCATATCACCTCTTTTTCTTCTGTCTCCTAGTTTTGGCATATTTAATGCCTCTAACCTCTCCTCGTAGCTCTTGCTCTTCAGTTCTGGGAGCCACTTAGTAGCCTGTCTTTGCACCTTTTCCAGTTTGTTGATGTGCTTCTTAAGATATGGACACCACACAACCGCTGCATATTCTAGCTTTGGTCTAACAAAAGTCATGAACAATTTCTTTAGTATTTCACCATCGATGTATTTAAAAGCAATTCTGAAATTAAAAAGCATGGCATAGGCTCCTCGCACAACGTTCTTTATGTGGTCCTCAGGTGATAATTTTCTATCTAGAACCACCCCTAGATCTCTTTCTTTATCAGAATTCTTTAAAGATTTCTCACAAAATTTATAGGTTGTGTGGGGTCTATGTTCTCCTATTCCACATTCCATAACATGGAATTTATTAACATTAAATTCCATTTGCCAAATGGTGCTCCATATACTTATTTTGTCCAGGTCTTCTTGAAGGGCATGACATCATCTAAGTTTCTTATCTTTCCTATTATCTTAGCATTATCAGCAAACATGTTCATATAATTCTGTATACCAACTGGTAGATCATTTATGTAGACAATAAACATCACTGGTGCAAGAACTGAACTCTGTGGTACTCCACTTGTGACATTTCTCTAGTACGATACATTGCCTCTGATTACTGCCCTCATTTTTCTATCAGTCAGAAAATTTTTCATCCATGTTAGAAACTTACCTGTCACCCCTCCACTAATTTCCAGTTTCCAGAACAACCTCTTGTGTTAAACTCTGTTGAAAGCCTTTTTCAGGTCCAGGTAGATGCAGTAAATCCAACCATCTCTTTCCTGTAAAATCTCTGTGGCCCGATCATAGAAACTGAGTAAATTCGATACACAAGATTTTCCAGATCGAAAACCATACTGTCTGTCTGATATTATATCATTTCTCTCCAGGTTTTCTACCCATTTAGGTTTTATTATTTTTCCAACATTTTCATTATTACACTTGTCAATGATACAGGTCTGTAATTGAGGGGGTCTTCCCTGCTGCCACTTTTGTAGATTGGAACTATGTTAGCCTTTTTCCACACGTCTGCTATGACTCCTGTACACAGGGATACCTGAAAGATCAGGTGAAGTGGAATGCTGAGCTCAGATGCACATTCTCTCAGAACCCATGGTGAAACTCCATCTGGGCCAACTGCTTTGTTCTTACTTAGCTCCAAGAGCATTTGTTTCACTTCGTCTCTAGACACCTCTATGTGCTCTATGCTGTTCTCTGAAATTCTTTTTGTGTCTGGTTCTCTGAAGATCTCATTTTGTACAAACACACTTTGGAACTTTTCATTCAATGTTTCACATATTTCCTTTTTATTTTCTATGTATCTGTCCCCCAATTTCAACCTCTGAAAATTATCCTTTACCTGCAGCTTCCTTTTAATGAATTTATAGAAAAGGCCTGGATCTAATTTACATTTGTCTGCTATACCGTTCTCAAAGTTCCTCTCTGCCTCTCTCCTTACCGACGTGTAATTTATTCTTGCATCTTTGTATCGTTGATATGTTTGGGGGGTTTGGCCTCTTTCTATAATGATTCCATGCTTGTGTCTTTTGATCTCTGGCCCTCTCGCAATTTCTGTTGAACTAACCCTGTTTCCTAGGTCTACATGTCTGTTTTGGAATGAATGTTTGTGTGCCTTCATCGTATATTTCGCAAAATTTAGCATACATCTCATTTACTTCCTTGCTTAGCAACAAGTCTCTCCAATTATACCCATGAAAAAAATTTCTTAGTTCCCCATAGCATCCTCTCTTGAAATTGAGTTCAACAACTGTTTCAATGTCTCCATTCTCTACTAGATTATATCACATAGCATATTTAATGTTCAAGAGGACGTGATCACTCTTTCCCAAGGAAGGAAGGTACTGGATGTCAAATACCTCTTCTTCTTTCCAGGTGAATAATAGGTCCAGTACTGACGGAACATCCCCTTCCCTCATTCTTGTGGCCTGCTTGATGTACTCACCTATTTGTGCTTGCGGGGGTTGAGCTTTGGCTCTCTGGTCCCGCCTATCAACTGTCAATCAACTGGTGTTGATGCATAAATGTCTCCAAGATGAGGTTTAAAAATCTGCCTGCCTGAATGTAATGAAACGCCCTTTTTTTGGGCGAGCCCCTACGGCTCCCAGGAGCTTATCGGGCTAATGTATGTTATATTAGACCGGGACATTAGCTAAGGAGTTCAGACCTATCAGGGACCAGCGCCAGAACCTGGCCCCTTCAGAGAGGTTTCAGAGAGCAATGACCCTGGAAAACCCCCTTGTGGTTGGGGTTTTCCTTATCTGCCATCGACCGGGGTTAGGCACCCAGAATGGTAGGCATAACAAAACAAACCCCACAGTATAAAACTAAACAGAGAGGTAGAAACGCCCTACAATCCCAAGGAAACAAGCATACATCACACTTTTCTGCCGCGCCGATCGTCCGTGTAGCCCTCCCCACCCCGAGAGGGGGAGGGGGGAGCCCTGGACCTCATTGCACGGGCTGCCTAGCATCAGTTTGGAAGCAGTTTGCCAGCGAGCCTCCGGGGCTCACCCAGAAAATGGCGTTTCAATACATTCAATGCTGGTTTTCTGTGCGGAGCCCCTTCAGCTCTTTGGAGCTTCATACCCAAAGAGAAGGAAAAGAAAGGGCTGACCCAGGAGGCGGCAGCCACAAACTCCGCAATGCGAAGCCAAGACAACAGGCTCAAACCTGCGACCCAAGGCAACAAGAAACGCACAGGAGATGTGCGCATAAAGAACGGGCGGCCAGGAACCTGTGCGACCCTCAAATCCTCACGCCCGAAATGAGCCCTAGACGTCACCAACACAGCAGTGAAAGCTGTAAACGTCTGAACAGCATGGGCGCAAGGATAGACCGCAGGCTGGAAGACCTAAAAACTCTGCGGACGACCTGGGAGACCCGAGCCCTGAAACAGGGAATGAGGGGTACCGGATCAACCCAAAGTGCATTCCCAGACACGTTACACAGGTAACGGCAAAAAAGTGCAACCGGACAACACAGGACGCACCCCCGGCCGAACCAATCAAGCATCAATAACCCAAGGACCCCCCCCCCAGTAAGCAGCCGTCTCGACCGTCGCCAGAAGGAAGGAGAAAGGCTGCAAACATACAAACCTACAACCAGTACCAAAGAGCAGAAACCTGAACCGAAGGGACTACCACAAACTGAGGAGAAGATAAGAGGGCACCCTGATCAAGGACTACGATAGCTCAGGTGACGCATGAGCAGGCCGGAGGTGAAACAAAACACAAGAAAGCATACGGAACGGGGCAGACGTGACGTCCACCCCGAACGCAAGCCGGAGCGGCTCCGCCAGTGCCGCACAAAACGAGGCGACAGTAAGAAACATCAAATAACTGTAGTCCTGAAAACCCAAGAAAGGACAAGACAACCCGATGCGAAAGAGAAGACGACCTACGAAGAGCAAGAAAAAGGTGCATAGAAACACCAGGAACATCATACTGTTGACAAGACGAAGCCACCTGATCACCACAGAGATGGTGATACCTCACTGGAAGAGATTCAGCCATTCTGGAAGAGATTCAGCTATTTTTGAAAAGATCTATGGAAAACACCACAATGGAAGCCGCTAACACTGTTCCTCTATGCTACTTGTATCAGATGAATCATCACTGAACCCAGAAAACGATTCATCTATGTATCATCTATAAAAACTGGAGATAACACGGCTGAACATGGGTGGCGCTCAGCTACTACTGGATACGCTCGCTGTATCGTCCTCATTGGTGCTGTATCACTTGCATCCGACCCTTGTGTTAGGTCCTTATTGTGTCTAACTTCATCAATATCATGACCCTTATGTTCTTCAAACATTAAGGTCTGAATTTCACCGACAGAGAGTGATCTTTCAACACCTCGTTGGACAGGTGTTTGGGAGCCAGAGGAGCGTGCGCCACCCATGGTTGCTCACTCGGTACTAAGCCAGTCAGTCAGCCCTAGGACATTCTGGGATTTTTTCCAAGATGGCCGCCACTCACTGGCATTGGTATACGTATCATGTAATTATAAATTAATTTTATACGATGACAATTGGCATAGTAATATTTATGACAAACACATTTACATAATAAGCAATCGTTAAACGAAAGCAGGATTTTTTCCATGTGTCAAGGTAAACTTTACTACATCCATATAGCATCATTTGTGTAAAACCCAGACAATAAAAATTAAAATCAACTTATGATGATAACCACATTACCCCTGTGAATCAATATATGATGATAACTTCACTTTAAGAGTCAAAGAGGGGGTCTTCTGTATTTGCTTGAAGTAATGTCTGCTATTTATACACACTTATACCTTATTTATGAGAAGATTTTGTGGTTTAAGGTCCCGATGAAGCACATTTCTGCTGTGGCAAAATTCCAACCCCCTCAAAAGCTGGAACCTGAAAAAGTCAAACTAAATTATATAAACAAAATTAGGCAACATTTAACTCGAATAATTAAAAAAAATATTTAAATACAATCTATCCCCTATACAATCCACTTCATGTGTTCTTGTCTGTCACTATTCCTTCCTTCTGTCCTATCCCAAATCCTTATCCTCATCTCTCTTCCAAGTGCTATCAAAATGGTTAAGTGCTTTCTCCTGATAATTATCTCACCTTATCCAGGTGTTCTTGCCTTTACCTTCCCAAGGAACCTATCAATATATAATTATCATTATTAGGGACAGGAAGCCTCTACATGTAATTACTTAAGTAATTACCCAAGTGTAGTTACAGGATGAGAGCTATGTTCGTGGTGTCCCATTTTTCCAGCACACTATATCATATAACACTTTAAAACTACTGACTGTTTTGGCCTCCATCACCTTCTCACTTAATTTTTTCCAACTGTCTACCACTCTTTGTAAAAGAAAACTTTCTAATTTTTTTGGCACCTTTGTTTCCTTAGCTTGAATCTGTGACCTTTTGTTCTTAAAGTTGCTGGTGTCAGGAATTCCTCTGTGTGTTGTGTGCTCACCTATTTGTGCCTGCAAGATTGAACATTAGTTCTTGGACCCCACCTTTCTAACTGCTGGTTGTCTAAAGCACTGATTCTTGGCCAATTTTCTTATCCTAACTACTCTTAAAATTATGAATGCTATTTGTTTCTACAACCTGCTCCTTTACTTCATTTCATTTTCCCATTATTCTTACACTAAATGAAAACGTTCTAACATCTCTCCGACTTATTTAGGTAGGTGAATAAGCATTGGCGGTGGGTTTTCCAGCTCCTAATTTAGAGTCCGTTTCTCCAGGTATTAAGAACATGATACTAGTGCAAAGTATCAGACTAACACATGAGTTCAAGCTGTGACAGAGCATCAAATTTTTGTCAGTAGTGCTATACGAGTGGCAGCAAGAGGCTTACGATTTGAGGGAAATTCAAGCATTGGTGTTCAAGAACCTGTGCCACCATAATTAATAATGCCAATCAATAATTAAAGAAAATCCCCTATGATACAAGAGTGCTTATAAGTCTTGTAAAGTCATTTTAGTGTTCTAAGTATTAGCTAAGACCAATCTAAATGTTAGTAAACTATTAATTAACCGATTGTAGTGCTCAAGAATTATTTGCATATACAGAACTTGTCAACCTACCAACCAATGTACAGTCTCCCTTCGGGGAGAGCCAGGGAGCAAGCCACCCACTGGGAACATAATAGGCTCAAGGACCATACACAGTAGCTTACAGCTAAGTTAACTTTTGTGTTGTATAAGTTGAATTTTATAATGTAATGATCATATAATAATACTTCAATAAATGTGTACAGTGGTACCTCGGATTACGAGCATTCCTGGTTACGAGTTTTTCGGGTTATGAGCAGGATTTGCTCGGAAAATTTGCATTGAGATACGAGGGTGATACGCATATGCACCGATCTAGCGCGTGGTGGCACGGCGAGCGCCCCTCAGTTTACCAGTGCCTCGTGCCCAGTGACTATCCCGCCTGAATTCTTCACCAGGATTTACAGTGTTTTGTTGGATATTTGGCCATTTGAACACAAAAGTTATTATATTTCTCGCAAAGGGTCCCAAGAAAGCCAGTGGTAAGGTTCATCCTAAGAAAATAATTGTGAGTAAAGGCAGCAGAGAATGTCCCTTCCTCATTAAGAAAATGTGTGAAGTATGGGAAGAACTGCAAAGTTTTGTTGAAAAAACTCACCCACATAAAGCTGTCGCAGGCCGTTGCATTGACCTTCTAAATGACAATGTCTTACTACAGACAAGTGTTGCAAAGAAGGGAAAAACAATCTTCAATGGATCGTTTAGTTGTGAATCAAGCAGCGAGCCACAACCAGGACCTAGCGGTATGCAGGCAAAACGTGCCAGAGAGTGCACTCCAGAAAAATCTTTACCGCCTATTGTTATAATGGAAGGGGCCTTCCCTTCCAAGCAGTAACACCTCTCATCCTCCCCCTCCTCACGCCAACAGCAGTCATCAGCAAGGGTAAGTAATAACCTGAACATACTTCTGTAGTGTAGATTTCGATGAATTAGGTATAAAATTAATTTGAAGTGAGGTTTTTGGGTAGTCAGAAACGGATTAATTCATTTCCCATTATTTCTTATGGGGAAATTAGCTTCGGCTTACGAGTTTTTGAGTTACGAGCTGTCTCCAGGAACGGATTAAACTCTTAAACCGAGGTACCCTTGTAATAATTAATGCAACAAACAATATAAAAGATATACAGTGGAACCTCAAGTGATGAGCGCCTCAATTCAATTTACAAGTATTTTGAATAACGAGCGCGCCGATCGCCAACAATTTGTCTCGATTGGCGAGCACTCGTTTGATTAACGAGAAAACCACATGGTGCATTCCCACTACTTCTCGCACGTTCTCGGATGCCTTGTACGATATAAATAATTAATTTTTTTTGTTTAACCACTGTGATGAGCCGAGTTTATTGTGAAATTCCCCCTGAGCGCATGAAATCAAGTGTTCCCAACAAATTCTTTTTTCTTCGTAAAATGATAAATTCCCTTCCCTGAACATGTCTATGTAAAAATAAATACCAAATTCCACTTACTTTGGCTGTGGAGACGTGGACAAGGTGCTCTGTGACGTCATCAGGGGCTGGTCGCCCATGCGAGACATGCCCAGACACAGTCGCGCGGGCCATTCAAGCACCGGGTGTTGCCACAAATATTTTCAATTACTTGTTCTATGTATTTCCAATGCGGTTTTATTAGTTTTTTTTTATCGTATATGATGCATATTTGTGTCCTTTACAATTTTTTTGTAGTAGCAATACAGTAGAACGTTCATAATGTTCCATGGAACTGCGATACATGTGTCAGTAATGTATCCACAATGAATGTTTATTGTCGCAATATTACTTGTTAAATTTTCACTAAAATTACAATATGCACAGTTTCACACACTATTTACACAGTAACACACTGTATTAACACCCAGTACTTCGGAAGTGAGTAATAATCAATGAAGTAGTCCATGGTACACAGCGCGACTTCGCTCTCGTTGCACCAGGTACAGATAGATTTTCGCTTGCTGTTTCTTCATTCTGTGACAGTGCTTGCAAATAACGCACTCACATACACCCTTGGCTTTAGTACCTGTAGGTGGTATGAATCCAAGCTTGTAAATTAATCTTGAAAAGATTATAGGAAAAGATCAATTTGTAAGGTAGTCTTGAAAAGATCGCTTTATAAGTTCCCACACAGGAAGAGATTCCTGTGAAGAGATTCTCAAAGAGTGTCCGTCAGTCTGGAAGAGATTCAGACAGCCTCAAAGAGTGTCTTGATTCTATTCAATCTAGGCTATTCAGGCTATTCTTGAAAATATCTATGGAAAACACCACCATGGAAGCGGCTAACACTGTTCATCTATGCTACTTGTATCAGATGCATTATCACTGAATGCAGAAAATGATTCATCTATGTATCATCTATATAAATTGGAGATAGCATAGGTGGGCATGGGTGGCGCTCAGAGCTACAACTGGATACGCTCGCTGTATCGTCCTCATAGGTGCTGTATCACTTGCATCTGACCTTTGTGTTAGGTCCTTATTACACCTAGTTTCACCAATATTATGACCCTTATGTTCTTTAAACAATTAGGTTTGAATTTCACCGACAGAGCGTTATCTTTCAACACCGCGTCGGACAGGTGTTTGGGACCCATGGTTGCTCACACAGTACTAACCTAGCCAGCAGTCCTAGGGCATTCTGGGAATTTTTTCCAAGATGGCTGCCTCTCACTGTCCATTTCGTACACAACCAACCGCGCGCACATTTAGAATGGGTACGAAAAAATCAAAGAGAGTTTTCGGTTGGCGCAGTTTCCCACCAATACTCGGTTGGCGCAGTTCAGTGGTTAAAGATGGTAATGATGCTGGGATGTAAAGGGGTGACTGCTGTGATATTGCAAAGCATTGATTTTTTTTTTGTTTAAAATAAAAAAAATAAAAAAAAAAAAAAAGAACAAATGTCAAACAGGTTTGTTCAGTGTGTATCAGGTAGGCTGCTCCATGTTTTTTTAAAAAGAAAAAGGAAAAATGAAAATAAAAAAAAAATTGAACAAATTTGAAAAAAGGAAAAACTTCATAAAGGTTCATTCAGTGTGTGCCAAGTAGGCTGCTCCATTATTAATAAATAAATGAAAAATACAAAAATTTAATAAATTTGAAAAAAGGAAAAATGTCATAATGGAGCATCCTACCTGACTAACACTAAAAGAACCTTTAAGACATTTTTCTTTTCTTCAAATTTGTTATTTTTTTTTCTTTTTAAGAAACACGGAGCAGCCTACCTGACATACACTGAACGAACCTTTTGCTATAAAAAAATAAAAAAATAAACAAAAGTGAACAAAGTTTAAAAAAAGAACAAATGTCAAAAAGGTTTGTTCAGTTTATGTCAGGTAGGCTGCTCCATGTTTCTTAAAAAAAAAAAAATGAACACATTTGAAAAAAAGGAAAAATGTCATAAAGGTTCGTTCAGTGTACAGTATCCACTCGATTTAACGGCCTATATGGGGCTATACCCAGGTCGTTATTTCCGGGGCTCCGGTATTTCCGAAGTGTCGGTAATTTTTCAAGTAACATTCAGGCAGGATGTATTTTATACTGTATAACTAAAATTAAATAAAGTTTGTGTAATTGTGTTCCAATTTAGTTCCTGTGTTAGTGTCCATTCTATCACAGGTTACAATTAATAATTCCTTCATATGACATGATGGATCACACAAGTGGGACAAGTGGACCACACAACAAGTGAACCATATTAACAAAACACCTCCCTCTCTCCCTCACCACCACTCTTCCCTTACCCTCACCACCACCCTCCCTCCCTCCCTCACTGATTCTATCCCTCCCTGCCTCTCCCCCCTCAATACCTCCCTCCATCACTGCCTCCCATCCCTCCTCCAATGC